CCACGATTGAGGCAAAATTCTGACTATTTTCTACGGTTGTGTAGACATAATTGTTACCTTCCATGTTCGCGGCAATATATCAACATATCCCGCGGTCGTGAGGAGATTACCATCGTCTCGCGGTACTGGCAAAATTCTGATTGTCCCCCGCGGTCGTTTGTACATAGCCTACAGTAGTAATCGCCTCCCGCGATTGCGGCAAAATAGTAATAATTTCCTGCCATCTTGTGGACATAATCATCGTCTTGCACTATCACGATAAAATGCTGATCACCCCTCGCGGCCGTGAAGACATCATTATATCGTCCCCCGCGGTTGTTTGTACATAGTAATCGCCTCCCACGATTGAGGCAAAATGGTAATCATCTCCCATTCCCTCGGCAATGTATTGTATAGATCATCGTAGACATATTGTCGTCTCCCGCCGTCACAGAAACATAACTGTTGTCATTTGCGATGGCGGTAAATTAAAAATTCCAGGTGGATATACAACATTCACACATAATTCCCGGTTAAAAAAACTCAAGCATAATTCTCGGATTCCCGGATTTCCCCGTTGTTGGACACCCTGTACATATATTGCAAAGGGGCGCTACTATTAGTTGTGCCTAGGGCGCTGACAGGGTCAAAAACGGGCCTACCTGTCTTTCTTATTTACAGTGTATAAATGTTGATATGTCACTTTAGAAAATAATAAATCCATTTTATTTAAATCACAAGCAACCGCACTCACATATGTAGCCTACATGTCACGCTAATATGGAAACTAAATAACTTAAATCAAAATATAAAGATAAAAAGATAATATGGGAAGAATCACGAGTAGCAGCGTAAAAATTTTATTTTGACTGATAGCAATTAAACAACATAAGGTACTGTAAAACAATAAACCATCTGCTTATGTAGTAGCGTGTGTATATGAAAAATGTAATTTAGGATTGTAAAAAATTGAATCACCACACTAATAACCAAATACGAAGATAAATTTATAGACGCTAAATATAAGCAATCTTATGATGAAATAATAATGGTGTGTTTATAGTTAGTTTTTAGGGCTTCAATGTTATTAAGAAAAAAATACTTCAATTACAGATTGCCATGTTATGTTTGCCACATGAATTGCGTTGTTTGTGTTTAATGTCAAAAGTAAAACTCCAAATAACTAATAGGCCTACTATAATTAACTTTTAACTAATGAGTAATGAAAGAACATTTACAGAAAGTAAATCCAATTCGTCTAAAAACATGAAACATATATTTACATATACAGGGTGCGGCAAAAAACCCGATCCATTTTCTGCAGAGCACTGTTCAGCGACAGGTCATCTGAGAGTGGTGGGAGTAGTTAAATAGCCTACACAATGTCATTTTTTTAGTCATAGAGCAGTGGTCGCCTGAGCTATGTGCGGTTGTAATGGAGTTGTTTTTAAAAAGTATTGAATTCATTCATTGGAACTCAGCGGCATCGGCAATTTCATGCATTCTTTTAATTAATGCGACATGGAGAAGTTCCATTGCCCATCACAATAATGCGGTAGGTTACTAACTTTAGAACAACGGCTTCTGCGTTGAAAAGAAATCTGAAAGGCTGTCCAAAGTCAGATCGGACGCTAGACAACTATCATTCGATAGAGTTCGTGCTGCTGTGGAAAACAGTGCTCGCAGGCCCGTCCGAAAACCAGCGGCTTGCCGAACATGTCTGACTGCTCAGTTACAAAAATTTTGAGGTTAATTTTCATCCCTACAGATTAATTAGAATAATAATCTGTTTAATTGTGTTATCCATACAGATAATCACGACGCAACCTCTCCTAATAAATAATAAATAAAAGCACGGAACTGCCACTGAGTTGCAATGACTGATTGACTACTTTTTTTAAAACGACTAGATAACAACCGCACGTAGCTCATACAACCACTGCTTCATGATTACAAAAAATGGCATCGTATAGGCTATCCAATAAGCCTACTCCCACCACTCTCAGACGGCCTGTCGCTGAACAGTGCGCTGAAGAAAATAGATCGGTTTTTTGCCGCACCCTGTATATACATATGCCTATTGAGTTTAATGATAGTTACATTTTCCAATAAAAATAGATCACAACTTTATACCATTTCATATTTATTTATAGTCCTAAAAATAAACAGTATACGTGTTTCAAGTGTTATTGGATGTATTTTTCTTTATTTTCCGTAAGTCAAGTTAGACTCCTCAAATTCACAAAAGGAAATCAATATAAACATAGATTTTGCAATCCCGTTAATCCTGGGATTAAAAGACACCAATCCCGGGATTTCTAGGTATCAAAATTCAACCAGGATCCCGGATTGAGACCCCTAAACAAGATATGCTTTAAGTGTTTTAATTCAGGTTACCTCCTTGGAAGTATGTAAAAATGTTTATTATGCTTATGTCTACTGTAGTTTAAGCTATGGTAGTACGTTATGGGGAACAGCCACAGATGTCCACAAAGTTTTTAAAAAACAAAAGTCGATCATCAAAACCCTTGCCAATTGCCCAAAAACAACATCATGTAGACAATTGTTTTGAAATTTTAAAATGTTAACTCTGACTTCAATATACGTTTTTGAAATGTTAAAAATGGTTCATGGAAATCCTGTTATGTTTCAAAATGATCTTAGTAATCACTCATAAAATACCCGGAGACAAGACATTTTCAATACCCCATTCACAATTTTTTTTAATATGAAGAAAGTCCTCTCTATATGGGGTTAAAGATTTACAGTAAGATTTCAAACGCCTTAAAGCAATTAAACATAGCAACATTTACGGACAAAATCAAAACAGTTTTAGCAGTATTACACACAAAAGCATATTACACTCTTGAGGAATTTTTCAACGACTCTTGGTAACAGACACCCATTCTCTTATCTACTTCTCCTAACATAACCAGTTCCACCATGCTGTAGCTTTTGTAGGGGTATCTTACTGGCTAATCTAAGTTTTTTTTTTAGCGAAGCTCTTATACGTTGACTCTTATGCATTTTGTAATACGCAAACTCCTTCTAGACGGCTGAATCAATCGTTTTCAAATTTTGCATGGTGATAAAGACCACATCGGTGCGATGTAGGAAGTGGTGAAGGAAGTAGTAAAGGCGAGTTGTTCGGAGTATGGGATCTGTTTATGACGATTAGATTTAGGTATCTACAGTCTTAAAATGCTATGGGAAGAGAGGGAAACAGATCCGCAACGTAGGAAGAGGTGAAAGAAGTAGTAAGGTGAGCAGTGTGGAGTGTGGGAACTGGAAACCGTTTGTAGCAGTTTTAATGTATCTGCAATGCTGAAATGCTATGAGAAGGGATGGAAGCATGCCCACGACATAGGAAATGGTGAAAGACGTAGTAAAGGCTAGCAGTACGGAGTGTGGGAATGTTTGTGGCAATTAGATTTACGTATCTATAATACTAAAATGCTATGGAAAGTGATGAATACAGGTCCACGACGTAGGAAGTGGCTTAGGAAGTAGGAAAGTATGAGCATCAGCATAGTGTGGGATCCGTCTGTGGCAGTTAGATTAATGTATCTTCAATACTAAAACGCTATGAGAAGGGAAGGAAACAGGCCCCACGACGTAGGAAGTGGTGAAGGAAGTAGTAAAGGCTGGCAGTGCAGAGTGGGGGAACCATTTGGGCAGTTAGATAAATGAATCTGTAATACTTAAATGCTATTAGAAAGGAAGGAAACAGGTCTATGACGTAGTAAATTGTGAAGGAAGTAGTAAGGCTAGCAGTGCAGAGTGTGGGAACTGTCTTTGGCAATTACATTAATGTATCTGCAATCCTAAAATGCTATGGGAAGAGAGGGAAACAAGTCCACGACGTAGGGTGTGGTGAAGGAAGTAGTAAAAGTGAGCAGTGTTATGTAAGTGAGCAGTGTAAAAGTTTGGGAATGGATTAATGTATCTGCAATGCTAAAATGCTATGGGAAGAGACTGTAGACTGTTTGTTAAAATGATTACGAACCACGATTGGATACATATTTTCGATACATGCAATCATTTACAATCGAAATTTACAACTGAGTTGACAACAGCTGATTTTTACTCCATAGAGACTAAAAACAATTTTTACTCCCTAAATATTAAAAATACTACTTTAGACCCGTATCGCATGCATTAAAAACTACTGTTTTTACTGAAGTATGACAAAAACAATATAATATGAACCCTTGATTACTCTGCTCAATTTTGTGGATGCCTCTGCGAACGCCACCTAGTAAATTAAGAATTCTTTATTAGATAGAATTACTTTGACAATGTACCTGTCTGTGTATTACGTTTGTAATAATTGTAACAGATGTTATGTGTAATAAAGAATTGTCCTTTGTCATTTGTCACAAATATCAGTTGGATAAATCCAAATAAAAAAAATTTTTATTTAAAAAATACAAAATTGAGGATATCTGGTTAAAAAAGAGATTTTGGAAAATAAGTTTCATGATTTTCTCTTTATTTTACCCATAAACGTATTTCTTGAATTTGGCTGTTTACTTACGTGACACCCTGTATATGAGTGACACAAACTTCTCTCCAAAACGTAGATTGTAGCCTTTGCATTGTAGCATTTTTGTGTTATAAAATCTGTGTCCTATGGAAGATTAGATACCAAGGTTGTCCAGCAGATGATATAAGTGTAAGTGGTTGACAGAGATGTCGGAATGCTATTCTCCGCCTTGTTCTATCTATATCTTATGACTCAAGGGAATAATTTTCTATGCCGTTAAATAAAGATTCAGGAAGAGAGACTTGGGGTGTAGTAGTGCTAGTGATCACCACATAGTGGGGGAAAAGCCATGAAATAAGCAAACAAATACAGCATTTATAAGAGCCATTAAATGTTATGAATAGTTTAGGGGGACTTTTTATGTCACAAAACAAAAAATATTTGATACAATGATTTGTTACATCAAGGTCCAACTGTATGCAGCATATATTAAGAATAATTATAAGAGCCAAGCACCAAGACAATTAATTATGACCTTAATACTTTCAATGTTGTTGAGTTTATCCTCTAGATCTTCACATTCCATCTTCATCTTTCTGAACTCCCATTCCTTGTACTTATTTATCCTATGGTATTTGGTAACTTGTTTCATCGCTTCAAGTTTTTTAGCTCCTGCAGCCTGTAAAAACATGTAAATAATTAATTTTTTAATAAAGTAAACTATTTGTAGGGGTCCTTTTACTCATGGGATCTGTATAAATGTCTTATTTCTGTTTAAAATCCTTTATTGTAACAGATATAGAAGCTGATGAATATTATTTCTTCAATACATCCACTTATTATAGTGTTGGGTTAATCAAAACCACTTTCAGAGGTGTCCATCTAAAGGATGAACTCCCCATCCCCTCTAAAAATCGTAATTGCAAATAACTATCCATAACATGAGATATTTTATTTCATTGTGGATGTTGGCCTCCGGATTCCTAAATAATAAAGGTTTAAATACCTGCTATCACGCAATCCATTTAATTGTAGTCGCAACTATAGTTTAGACTCTTATGTGGAGTCATCTTCGGGCGGTGCAAGGAATTCTTCTTTCTTCACATGAAGAGCGTCATATATAAGACTTAAAATAAATAAACATTTACACACGACACATAACTATACGGACACGAAACATTTACGGTAACTGATCAGTTACGACAACAGAATACGCTAACCCGGCGGAAGTCCAGACTTCCATAATTATAATATTTGAGTCTGGACTTAAACTCCGCCGGGTTAGCGTCGTCTGTTGTCATAACTGATCAGTTACCGTAAATGTTTCGTGTCCGTATATGTATATGTGTCGTGTGTAAATGTTTATTTATTTTTACGTCTTAAATATGACACTCTTCATGTGAAGAGAGAAGAATTCCTTGTACCGCCCGAAGATGACTCCACATAGGAGTCGAAACTAGTTGCAACTGCAATTAAATGGATTGCTTGATAGCAGGTATTGAAACCTTTTAATAAATATTGAATGAATAAGAGAGTCCGATGCTACTATCACACAATGGTTGATCAAAGACTTTGGATGTGAATGATCAATTGCTGCTGTTCTACCTTTCAAGAACTCATTAAAAATATATAGCTGATCTTTTCAAAGTGCAAACACTCATATAACATAAGAGATACTTTGTCACAATATTTCAAGATTCTAGATATTAATACATCATTAGTGGTTTGTCCATGACATTACTAATCCTTGAAGCACTATGAGTTCTTTGACTATGGTTTGTTTGAATCATTTGTACAAATTAAAAATTTGTAAATTCAATTCACCAAAAAGATAAAATACCAATTTCTTTATTTATTAAAATATTTCCCAGTTAATTTTTTTAACTGAACCAATTTTTATCATAATACAGCATGCCCTGCTTGATCAAACCCACCTTCTCCTCACTACTTGGACAACTACATCAAAGTCTCAAAAATTATTCTTTTCTAGTTTCAAGTGTTTATATTTTAAATGTTATAATTCAGGGTTCCCACTATTTGTCCAACAAAATTCACGGTGTTTTCTTGGTTCTCACATTCTACTTTTATAAATTTCACGGTTTCCAAACAATGTTAGTTATAATGACAAAACTTTATGGAATGGCTTTTCTAACCAGTTCAAGAGTAAGGTTTTGTAGCCGATTAATACGACACCATTATTAAATTTAACGTTGCTTAGATCTATACATGCAGGAAAGAACAAGACCGTAAAATCTTTAAGGTCCATTCCATGAATGTAATAATCGGCCAGTTGGCGCAGAGCGAAGAAAGATACAGGAGATAGAAGTAGAGAAATAAAGACAGAGACGATATTGAAGTGAAATAATGAAGTGAAGTTTATGGGGGAAGCCCAAGTAATTTGTATGTAATGGTCAGTCATACTATTTGCCGCTCTTGGTAGTGAAAATTAATCGGCAAAATCGACCGATGCTACTAGGCCGTAACTGGCTTAGGTATGTTCCATTAGATTGGAAATCAATATTTTAATGCAATTATTCTGGTCTACCTGTAGATAAACTTAATGGCTAGATGGTCACAGGTAATGCTCGTAAGATGAACAAACCTAACCTAACTTGTTCTGTTGGTCAAGATTTTGCGGAACAGTTGAAACAAAAATATGTTTCAGTATTTAAGGGTGGTCCAGGTGAAATAAAAGATGTGAGAGTTCGCATTGTGCTGAAGGAAGGGGCCATACCTAAATTTTGTAAATATAGGCCAGTGCCATATGCGCTGTGGAAGATGAACTTGACCGCATGGTTGCGGATAGAATAGCATATCATGTAACTAGTGCTGACTGGGCTACGCCCTTGGTGGTAATTCAAAAGAGCATGGGATCAAGTTATGAACATTACCCGTTACCACAACCCGAAGACATTTTCGCTTCTTTGGCGGGTTGTAAATGGTTTTCTGTCTTAGATCTTGAAGCTGCGTGCCTTCAGTTGTCAGTCACTGAGGAATCTCAAGAACTTCTAACCTTGGCTACGCACAAAGAACTTGTGCGATTTCGTCGTCTACCCTACGGTTTGTCGTCTGCTCCTGCTCTATTCCAGGCTGCAATGGATAAGATCATAATGGAGGATTGGAGGGGTCTGTCGCCTACTTAGACGATGTGTTGGTTGGAGGTGCAACTAAAGAGGAGGCTTTGTCAAGGTTGGAAAGTGTACTACAAAGATTACACGAGTATGGAGTTAAGGTAAATGAAAATAAATGCAGATTTTTACAATCTAGTGTACAATATCTGGGATATTGTTTGACTACCGAAGGTATTAGTCCTCACCAGGGCCGGATTTAGCATTTTTGCGCCCCTAGGCCCAAATAATTTTCCGCCCCCTAGTCTGGTCACAGTTACTTTCCTTCAAACCTTTATTAAAAACTATATCATGCCCATAGGCCTAAGTTAATTGCTTGAATACCACTCCTCGTTGGAATCATTGAAAATTTTTTTTGAATTGACTTGTTTCGCCTTAACAAAATACCGTCTTAAACACTTTTAGCAATTTTATGTTTTTTTTAATAATTGCTCATTACTCATGTTTGTGGCCGTGGGGTTGGGACTGAAACAAAACAACTGAACCCACCGAGCATTCCTGCAAAAAAACATGGCCATTGATTCCAATTATTCCAGGCCCAAAAACATTAACTCCATACAGTACATGACACCATAGATTAAACATACGTACTCCTTTAGTAGATTTGTCATCATTTCGGATTAGCTGAAAACAATTCTTATTATTTAAGGGTTATGTTTATCTATGTTTAAATCTAGTTTATCCAAAATAAAACGATCTAATCATCAACAATAGGTCGTCTCCTGTTTATATTACAAGAAATTAAAACACACAATATCATAGAACTAACCCTAAAATAATAGAAACAAAATTACGTCAAAACTAACGTCCAGTGTCACCAACATGAACATGAACATGGAAAAATTTTGAATTAACAATGTTATGAGAAGTCGACTTGAGTTATATTTAATCCATGGTCGTACTGCATCTAGGTTATATTTCCAAAGCAAAACAGAGCAATATTCCGGCCAACCGTACCGATCCTTAGGCCTGAGGAGAAAATTACAGCATTAATGGTTCTTTGGAGGGTATTGAATTTTTCTAAAATTGAATGCAAACTGAGATTAATATTTTTTCGTTAATTTTAAAGGTAAATAAATCATTGTTGTTTTAATATTTAAAAAAACTTATGATATATTTAACTTGATCCTGCAGATAGTTGTAAACTAATAAAAAATAACTTTTGTTTTGTGATGTGAGGGTGGTAACAATGTCATGTCTAGCACGCATGCGCCCCTTATCACTCTGATCAGTAGTGCCGAGCCTGACCCAGCATAGTGGCAGTGCAGTGGCAATACGATGCGCGTACCGCTTGGGCGCTCGTCAACGTCAACATCCCTACAGCCTACTCCCGTATAACCAATGTTCGTTACCAATTTTGTAACGAAATTGATGCGTAATTCTGAAAATATAGATTAAATTTCATAACATTTATTTCTTCTTATGAACTTCAGAATCACAATGCTTTGGAGTTTTTTTTATCAACTATGACTATTTTTATTTTTAGATAGCTTATGGAATAAAAAAAATACTCTCAGCCATGCGCCCACTGGGACCTTGCGCCCATAGGCCCGGGCCTACTGGGCCTATTGGGAAATCCGGCCCTGGTCCTCACTCCTCAGAAAAGAAATTTTAGAAGCTATTCAGGATGCCCCGGAACCTAAAAATGAAGAAGAGCTAAAGGCCTACGTGGGATTGGTAAATTACTACGGTAAATTTATCTGTAATTTGTCTGATAAAATCAGCTGCTTTTATAATCTGCTTAGGAAAGATGCACAATGGGTGTGGTCAAATACTTGTTCTAAGGTGTTTCAGCAAAGCAAATTGTGGGTTTTAGGTTCAGATGTGCTAGTGCATTATGATGTAAATAAGCCCACTTGTGACGCAAGTCCCAGAGGTGTCAGAGCTGTTCTCTTCCACCTCATTGATGGCATAGAAAGGCCAATAGTGTTTGCTTCAAAGTCGCTAAGTTCTAGTTAAAAGAACTACTCACAGTTGCACAAAGAGGCACTTGCCCTTATTTTTGGCGTCAAGAAATTTCATAAATACTTTTATGGAGAGAAAGAATGTAATTTTACAGATAGATCATGCCCCCTTGGTAACCATATTTGGAAGCAAGGGTGGAGTTCCAGGCGTTGCTTCCACACCACTTCAGGGATGGTCCCTCATACTTTCAGCCAATAATTTTGAAGTGAAGTTTTGACGCGGTGCTGACTTGACGCATGCTGACGCACTTTCCAGACTGCCCCTACCTGACGACCGGACCCTGGAGCTGGAGGCCAACCACGTGACACATACAGGGTGATTGATATAAGTGTGCCAGCCGTTTTATTCAAAAACTATAAGAGATATCAAAAAAAAGTTAAATGGTAAGAGCCTTGGATTTTTTATTTAAAAAATTGTTGTCAAGTCAAACAAAATATTTTAGCCGCCATTTTTCCAATATGGCCGCCAACTTGGATTTTTCTTACGGAACACCCTGTATTTTATGATGTATTCTGGTAGTACAAGTAATTTTAAGACGATTTTATTCTTGTGATTTTTTTCATAAACCTAACCGTTTGAAAGATAA